TACAGGATTCGCCAGTTCACAAGGGATGGGGAGAACACTGTGTGGCCTTTTTCCGGGATATAGTCTTGTGGAATCCAAATATCGCTATCGCTATATACCTATTCTTTGATATTTCATTAATTAGTGCCGGAAATGAAGGACAAAGTTGCCCCGTTTTATCATTTAGTTTTCGTCTTTCCTCAGACAGAGGAGCACAGTCAAATATTTATCATTATATAATTTTATCACAAATATGCCCCTATTTTAAAATGATCACAATTTTCTTTTAAATAAAAATAATGCAAAGCAATAACGCTCTAGCAAATGAAAACATTAAGACACGAATGTTTCTTTTACACCTCAATCAAACTTCTACTGTCCTTACTGTGATGAACAAATATATTGAGAGGGCTTGGCTCATCAGTGATGATCCTTTCCATCGTTTTCACCAATTTGAATTACCTGACAGCTTCTTAGAGCTCTAAATCTGTATTGGATCATTCTGCTTTTATATGCTACACTGTAACCGTTAAAACAAAATTACTCTTTTTTTTTACATGGCACTATATTTTCTCAATATATTTGAAAGTATGAATAGAGACTTTGTTTCGATAAAATATTCCCTTGAATCAATATTAAAATAAGAACATTAAAAGTTTATTTTCCCTGGAGGCCTAATGTTCTTTTTTAAAGAGCATTTCTTTGCCAAAAAGAAAAACTAGATATAGAAAGTTAAGTAAATATGTTGGAACTTGTATTTAGTAAATTTTAAGGGTAAATTCACACACACACATATATATAGTATATTTTAAACTGTATAATAAGGACACTTTTAGTATATGTCACATATCTTCCAATTAGTTAAAGCCTATACCTTAAAAGATCCTGCCCTTCTTTTGGAATGTACACCGTCTCTGTTTGCTGCCACCCCTATATTTTGTATATATGCTATATCTTTATTGATAATACCTGTAAACCCTTATTTGTATGTAACACAAAAAAATGTTAACGTCAAAATAAAGATCCAAAGAGTGTTCGGTCAGCTGGGGGCAGAGACAGAGGGGAGGAAAAAACCCAACGCCCAGCCCATGTGGGGCCCCCAGGGACTCTTTATAGACGAACTCTGAAAACAGGACAGGTTTTGGGAGGGGATCAGCAGCAGTATGTTCTAGAGTGTGTCGATCGGCAGGCGGCTGCTGTCTCTCACACAGGCTCTCTCTCTCCATGTCTCGGTGATAAGCATCCAAGTTTGTATCATGGCCTCTACCTCTGTCCCGTAGGCTGTCCCCGATCACTTTCGGTGCTAACATCTAGCCCTGCCTCTGCTTCTTGTTGTCCGCGTGTGGGAAGAGCACCAACACTCGCCTCACGTACACGACTGCCAACTTATCCATACATCGAAATTTGCAACAATATTACATATATGTTTTCAGCTTGTTATATACATTCTTGGAAAACCTTAGGAATATAAAACAGACAACCGGTGATAGCAAATACTTTCCAGTTCTTTAGGTTTTGTCCATGAGTGAATATATATATAATACGATATATATAAATATAAATCAATGTTTGTATGTTTGTTTGTTTGTATGTATGGTATACAAATTCGCAGTAGTTCACTAATTCAAATCAAAATTTCCAAACATAGGTTAAAAAATACGGGGAAGACGATAGGCTATTTTAAAAATATATAAAAAATTTTAAAACTATATATTCAAATTATTCTACTTAGCTCACGAACAGCGCCCTCTATCAAAGATTAGATTAAATTATGCTGATGCAAACAAATAGATAATGCTAATAACAAACAATTATTTAAAAAATCTTATCTAAATATATATCACTCGGGTAGATATGCACACGGGTCAATCCCGGGGCGAAGCCCGGGTCACCCGTCTAGTATAATATGATCCAGAATTTTAGAGAGGAATGGCATTCCACTTACTTGGCACCTTCTTTCACTAGCTTCCTGAATTTCTTGTTCTTTGCCAGTTTGACAGCCACCCTAGCGGCTCTTGCTGCAGCTCTGACAGCCACCCGAGCGATGACCCTGCCGATGGTGATCAACACTCTGAGCAGGATTCCAAAGAACGGGGATTCAAGTTCCTCTGCACAAAAATATATCGTTTACATATATGGTGTGGAACTAACACCTACCCAGATATTATCATGCCCAGCAATAGCCGCAGCCTTGCAGAAAATAGACATGGACACAGAACAGCAGCTTTACACACCCAAGATAGAGGACATTGCTGTGATAGATATACGGAAATATCTGAGGCTCGACAACAACAACTACAACAGGAAATTGGTATGGACCCAGAGAAACAGCTTTACACACCCAAGATAGAAGACATTGCTGTGATAGATATACGGAAACATCTGAGGCTCTTCATTGGACACGACAACAACAACAGAAAATTGAATGGACCTAGAGCAGTAGCTTTACACATCCAATAAAGAAGAACTCTGCTGTGATAGAGATGCTTTGAGACATCTGAGGCTCTTCATTGGACACAGCAACAACAGAAAATTGACATGGCCCAGAGCAGCAGATGTACACACCCAAGATAGAGAGCATTGCTGTGATAGAGATGTATGGAGACATCTGATGCTCTTCATTGGACACGACAACAGCATAAAATTGGCATGGATCCAGAACAGCAGCTTTACACACCCGAGATAGAAAACATTGCTGTGATAGAGATGTATGGAGACATCTGAGGCTCTTCATTGGACATAACGACAACATATAATTGGCATGGACCCCGAACAGCAGCTTTACACACCCAAGATAGAGAGCATTGCTGTGATAGAGATGTATGGAGACATCTGAGGCTCTTCATTGGACACGACAACAACAGAAAATTGACATGGACACAGAGCAGCATCTTTACACACCCAAGATAGAGGATATTGCTGTGATAGAGATGTATGGGGAGATCTGAGGCACTTCATTGGACACGACAACAACAGAAAATTGACACGGACACAGAGCAGCAGCTTTACACACCCAAGCTAGAGACCATTGCTTTGATTGGGGTGTACGGAGACATGCGAGGCTCTTCATTGACATGACAACAACAGAAAAATGACATGGACCCAGAACAGCAGCTTTACACACCCAAGATAGAGAACATTGCTGTGATAGAGATGTATGGAGACATCTGAAGCTCTTCATTGGACACGACAACAACAACAGAAAATTGGCATGGACCCAGAACAGCAGCTTTACACAACCAAGATATAGGATATTGCTGTGATAGAGATGTATGGAGACATCTGAGGATCTTCATTGGACACGACAACAATAACCTAAAATTGACATGGACCCAGAGAGGCAGCTTCACACACCCAAGATAGAGATCATTGCTGTGATTTAGAGGTATGGAGACATCTGAGGCTCTTCATTGGACAAAACAACAACATAAAATTGACATGGACACAGAGCAGCCGCTTTACACATTCAAGATAGAGGACATTGCCGAGATAGAGATGTACGGATACATCTGAAGCTCTTCATTGGACACAACAACAACATAAAATTGACATGGACACAGCAAGCAGCTTTACACACCCAAGATAGAGAACATTGCTGTGATAGAGATGTATAGAGACATCTGAAGCTCTTCATTGGACACAACAACAACCTATTTACACACTCAATTTGTACATTTAAATTCTGACTAGCCAATCATCTGGGACAAAAGAGGTTTGGAAAGTTTTTTTTTTTGTTTGGATATAGATATATAGGAAATGGAAGCATTAAATCACGAATGTTTCTTTTACACATTAAACTACTACTGTCCTTACTGCGATGAAAAAATATTGGGAGGGCTTGGCTCATCAGTGCTTTCGCCAATTCAATCTACCAGACCGCTTCTTAGAGCTCTAATACTGTATTGGATATCATTCTGCTTATATAAGCTACACTGAAGTGTGGAATCTTAGAAATGGTATTTAAGCAAACTATGGACATAAACCTTTAGGACAGTAGAATTACATTAATATATTTGCATTGAGCAATGCTCTTCCGCAAATAATAGGTACAAGGTCAGTTGGGCATAATTACTTAAAAGGCGATTACGTGTTATCTATATTTAGTTTAATATTCCAATCGATAAATACACTCATGAACAAAATTAAAGAAAGTGTTGTGTACCTAAGCTCCGATAGATGGCGTGCTTTTTATGCGGGAAGTTTGTAAACATTAGCCGCCATCTTAGAGGGTAGACGATTGATAGTAGTTTGGGTCTTTGACATTACTTCCTTAATTTATAATTATTTTTATTCATTTACCTTAGTTTATCTATTCTCCTTTGTGCCATCTCCCAAAGTATGTAACAATATAAAATGTCATCTAATAATTATTTTTCTATATTTTACCCAAACGACTTGTCGCCTTCATTACCGTGACAATATATGTTATTGGGTATTTATGTAATCTTTCTTTTTCCTCTTAATTATAAAAACGTAATAAACAAATTATTTGTTATAAAACATTTTATCAAGTAGTATAATAATGTTAGTTTTATATTAAGTTTTAAATAGGCAAGCTTTCTTTCAAACGTCAGCTGATTATCATACCGTTGGAAATATGTAAATATGTAAATTCCTTCTACACCTCTCTATATGGGTAGCCTAGTGGACATGGCATCTGCCCGGTAAGCGGAACATTGTGGGTTCGATTCCCATCCCTGGACACTTTTATTTTTCCGTTCATCATTACCCTTCATAATTCACCCTTTCATACCTCATCCAAAAAGGTTTGAAATAGTCAATATTTCACCTTGAAATAAATTTTGATTTTTCATTGAAAAGAAACTCATGCGGTGAAACTTCAAGCGTTGTTTTACACCTCTCTATATATTACACTAGCCGAATGACCCGGGCAACGCCCGGGTTTTTCCCGATTAAATGCTTTTATTCAAATACTATTCGTTACAATTATAAATTGGCGCTGTGGATGTCATTCTTGTAATAATATATAAATGAGTTTTAAAAATTGTAAGAAAAAAAAATGCTTCGGCCTGGAATCGAACCCGGGCCGCCCGCGTGGCAGGCGAGCATTCTACCACTGAACCACCGATGGTTATGAGAAATGGCCATATTTGGGTATTTATTCCATTCACAAAGCAAACGGTGACAGAATTAAGAATTGTTGCTTGATTATGACGCTGATAACTGTATATATTACATAGCAATATACAACAATGGCAGATTGCCATCTAAAATGCTCATGTGAGAGGTCAGGAAATGCCAATTTTGTTTTGAATAAATATATAACTTGTAGATGGAAAATTTACCGGGAGGATATTGATCTATAGAGACAAAGGTCGCCTCTACCGTCGAAATAGACGTCAAAAACTGACGCCATTTATTGACCGTCGCCGCAAACTAGCGGTCTCAGGTCAGCGACATAGCCACAACACCAGCTTTGGTAAACTGAAAAGCGTCCACCTAGAGACCATGGACCAAAGTCCGCCCTAGACTGACGAAGGCCATTAGCCCGAAACCATGGTCTCTAGGTGGACGCTTTTCAGTTTGCCAAAGCTGGTGTTGTGGCTTTGTCACCGACCTGAGGCCGCTAGTTTGCGGCGACAGTCAATAGATGGCGTCAGGTTTTGACGTCTATTTTGACGGGAGAGGTGACCTTTGTCTCTATATATAACTTGATTATGATGCTTCCATTATTTCTAGTCCCGGTTCCTATTCGTCTTTTCCCTCCGTATATAACGATATTCTAGTTAAAGTGCAGCTTGGGTCACGACTCGGGAATAAGGATGCAGTTTGACTGTAATTATAAAGGTAAGGGTGACATACTCAGGTGATTGAGGTAGAGTGTGTCCTCATCTAGTGTCACGGCCTGTGTGAAGACACACACGGACAACACCACGATCAACACTTGCAGAGATTTCATCTGGAACACACCAAACACTCAGCAGTTTTCCAGGGTGTATACTCATTGAATGATAATGGTAATAGTGTAACGTAGAAAATCAGTGAAGATATACTTCAGGATAACACAACAATTTATTTAAGGCACAAGCACAATTATAATTTATATAATACACCTATCCCCCGATTTACACGGTAGATACGTTCCTGAGAAAAACGTGTAAATCGGGGGATAGGTGTACACAGAAATAAAAATAAAATGCATTGACAGGTTAAAATATGTAGTCAGCACATAAGCTCGGGATTCTTCGTGAGATGTGTACACAGCGCATGTGTTCAATCACAGTAGCATTTAGTATAGTGTGATAAAAACAAAAAAAAACTTATTTGGAAAATGGTGTAAAAGCGAAAACGTGTAAAACAAGTACCGTGTAAATCGGGGGATAGGTGTATAAGAGAAGAAATGAGGGAAGTTTACGCAGAGTAATAAATTATATTGACATCAAATTTATATATCTTTTAATAAATACTTTTCTACAATATACTCTTATGCAGAAACCTTAAGGAAGTTGTACCTATCAGCATGTATATCGGGATTCAGAGAATAACTCTGAAATAAATTTGATACACAGTGATTTTTGTTGAAGACACACGAGATAACCAATTTTGAATAAAATTAATTCTTTCTCCTTAAAAAAAAAACAGACAAAAAAAGCTTAAAGGAAAACAGGCATTAAAGCTATATTAAAGACTTTTTATTTTCTCGAGTTTTGTCAATGAGTGTATTTATACTTTTACACAGCGGGAGCATTGAAATCTAACGTTTTAAAGTTACTGTAAAGTGTACGTAAACAACGATGACAAATTTTGAAAGTCCTGTTAAATTCTACACACTAGAAAATTTAGTAAACATGCAGCGTTAGACCGGTAAGCATCGGAACAGCTGTTACAAAATTTTATGAAGCGTTCTAAGTTAGGTTTAAGAGTGTTGCGAGTTCAACCAATATTTGAACCACTTTATCACAAGAGGTCGAAAAACAGATAGAAGAGGTGATGATAATACGTGAACTTAAAGGACACATTTAATAATGTATAATTTATACAAGAATAGAATACAAGAAGCCTCAAAGATCTTTCAGTCCCTGTGAGCGGGCAAGATCATTTTCTAAGTTCACTGCAATAATGAAACCTCGTATAGAATTTCCAAATGTATGAAATAGCATGATCTGATATTTATAATTCTCAAACTATTTAGATTATGAAAAAATGAAAGAAAAAAATCAAAAATAAAAATGGCATATCCTGACCAGGAGCACATGTGCTTTACAGAAGGCAGAGCGCCATCTGGTGGAACAGAAATCAACTAATCATTGATTTAGTCTGTTCCCTGATATTTAGCCAGCCCAATTTCTTGATAAATCAAGAAAAGCCATCCACGAACGCGTTTCGCGCTTTTTGGCGCTCGTCAGCATGGAGTAGGCTGTACCAATTTAGATTATATATTAAAAATTTGTAATTATAATATATTTATAAGCTATTATAGCTTTCGGACACTAAAGCCTTCCTACAAGAGAAAGAATTTTGCATAAAATCGCCAATAGATCTAGATTTGATTTAAAATCAAAGATATTTTCCCTTGAATATTGAAATTTTCACTTTGATATTGATCCAAAGGATCATATTAGTATTATATATCTTTTTCTATATTGGTTCTAATTCTTTTGTTGAGTGCCACCATACCTTGTGTGAAGGACCATAGAAGAATGGATGGATCTGATATTTCAGACATTTTATATATGGGAACGCCAACTGTTGGCAACAACGATGGAGCAATACAATGGAACAACTCTACTGACGTAATAGCAATTGTTAGACTGCATATGTGAGATTTTTCAAAATGTATTTTGGAATCTATTGTGGGCGTGATTTTCATGAATTCAAATTCTAATAATAATAAAAAATCTAAGGGAAGAAAACGTAGAAGTATTTCTATTTGGACCAATAAAAATTGTGTTTAATTTATTTATTTCGAGCCTAATTTTTTTGTTTTTTGCTGTAATAAATATGTACCATTGACATCTTTGCGCACGTGTTTGCTTAAGCATTACAAAATCGGTAGGCATTTACACTCAAGGACAAAACTTAAGGAAGTTGTACCTTTTAACATGTATATTGGAATTCGGATAATAACTCTGAAAGGTACACTCATTGATAAAACTTAAGGAAGTTGTAGATTTTAACATGTATATATTGGAATTCAGACAATAACTCTGATAGATATTACAGTGACCTTTATTGAAGACACACGAGATAACCAAGTGTGAACTACACTCATGGACAAAAACTTAAGGAAGTTGTACCTTTTATCATGTGTATCGGGATTCAGACAATAACTCTGAAAGATATTACAGTGACCTTTATTGAAGATACACGAAATAACCAAGTGTGAACTACACTCATGGACAAAACTTAAGGAAGTTGTGCAATTTAGCATGAATATCGGGATTCAGGCAATAACTCTGAAAGATATTAAAGTGACCTTTATTGTAGACGCACGAGATAACCAAGTGTGAACTACACTCATGGACAAAACTTAAGGAAATTGTACATTTTAGCATGTATATCGGGATTCAGACAATAACTCTGAAAGGTATTACAGTGACCTTTATTGAAGACACTCAAGATAACCAAGTGTGAACTAAACTCATGGTCAAAACTTAAGGAGGTTGTACCTTTCAGCATGTTTTTCGGTATTCAGACAATAATTCTGAAAGATATTACAGTTACCTTTATTGAAGGCACACGAGATAACCAAGTGTGAACTACACTCATGGACAAAACTAAAGGAAGTTGTACCTTTTAGCATGTATATCGGGATTTAGACAATAACTCTGAAAGATATTACAGTGACCTTCATTTGAAGACGCACGATATAAGCAAATGTAAACAAAATTGCCTTTGTCTCATTAAAAACACCCGATCGGTGATATCAAAATATGAAACTTCAATAAGTTTTGTCCATGAGTGTATGTATTAATCCCATTTCTTCAGGAAATCAATACATTCTAGGGAATTTTAACTTTATAATTAGTGAGTCGAAATTTCGCCTCTCCACCAGATATTGCACCGTCCTGAAAGGTTGACTTGTTGTCGACATTTGATTTTGATTCATATCTATATTATAGGCAATATCAGTTATTATTAAATGAACATTTTTTATTTTCCAAAGGAATTCACAAACGTTACAGAATATCAAATAACAGCCAGAAATATATATAAACAAAATTTGTACAGATATCTCACTGATGTCATGTGACTGATGATAATTCACAGAGTAGAATTTTGCAGAGCATTACCCGATAATATTGGATCGAAAAATAATTTATAGTTAAGACAACGATAATCTCTCTATTAAATGTAATTCTAGTATCCGAAAAGCTTATGTCTATATATATATATGTTGTATAATTACTGTGTGGGAAAAAAAAGTTAGCAGTCGTTTGTGGTTGTCTCCACCTCAATAATCTCATTATTTTTCAAATCTTTTTAAAACAAACAACAAAATTTACATACTTGGCACGCGGTAAAATTAATTATTTTTCAAACAAAAAGAATATTATGCAAAACAGATAGAATTTTTCTATTATGCAAAATAGATAGAAGTTGAATATCATTCAAAATGTATCATATATATATATATAGTTTGCTTAAAATACCATTTCTAAGATTCCATCCTTCAGTGTAGCATATAAAAGAAGAATGATCCAATACAGTATTAGAGCTCAAAAGAAGCGGTCTGGTAGATTAAATTGACGAAACCGCTGGGAGGGTTCATCACTGATGAGCCAAACCCTCCCAATATTTTTCATTGCAGTAAGGACAGTAGATGTTTGATTTATTTGTGAAAATAAACATTCGCGTTTTGGTGTTTTTATTTGTATTTTATAGAAGAAAAAAAAACACAAGTCAGGGAGAAGAATTTCTTTATATAAGAGGATGATTGTACAATATTTCGGGCAATAAGTCCTTCTATGGGTACAAATGACACGAGTGGCAATGGTTCATATACACTATTTTATATACACAAGTTTTTTACATACACCAATACCTCGCTTTGCGTCGTTTCGTTTCGAGTTTTTTTCGAAGTTGCGTCGCTGCTCAATTTTTACTGATTTTCACTGTGCGTCGTTAGATT